TAACAACGAAGCAAAACTGAAGGAATAAAACAGCAGCAGATTCACGGAACACAAGAATAGACTAGCGGTTACTAAAGGAGAGGGGTGGGGGAGGGTGGTTGGGGAAGGAGGGAGAAGGGGATTGAGGGGTATTATGATTGGCACACATAATGTGCCGGGGGGGCACGGGGAAAGCAGTACAGCACAGAGAAGACAAGTAGTGACTCTGTAGCATCTGACTACGCTGATGGACAGGGACTGTAATGGGGTATGTGGGGGCGACTTGATAGTAGGGGGGAATGTAGTAACCACAATGTTGCTCATGTGAAACCTTCATAAAATTGTATATCAATAAAACCTTAATAAAAAAGAAAAAGCACATGCTACCTTGATTATCAGAGACGATAAGAATGTAGCCCTGTTCGGGTATGTTGCTGTTCTCAAGTCCAGGATTATAGTTCTGCCCTGAAGCATCCTCCTTTCATCCAGCCCTGCATGTAAGAGGGGCAAACAGCACCCAAACCACCAGCAGAGTAAGGATTGTATTTTCTGGTTACAGAAATGTTTCCTTCTATGCAAAAGTGTGCCCTGCAGGACTCAAAGTGGCACACAGCTCAATGGGATGAATAACTTGGACCTCTTACCCACACCCTTCTCTCAGTTCACCCCAGGGGAAGGCGACAGTGAGCAGCAGGAAGACCCCGAGGCTCGGCCCTATCTGCCAAGTGGGGGGTGAGAATACGAGCTGCAGTGACCACGGAAAGGGTGATTCAGTGGTGCTTCTCACACAAGGTCAGTGGGGTGGGGGGGAGGTGCTCCCAGAGCCCAGGCATCCCTTTTCTCTCAACTACTGGGACTAAATGCCGGTCCCATTTCCTCTGGGATGAATTCAGCCTTGGTTGGCTTCTCTTTAGCCTCAGCAGCAATGATCTATAGAGATGCCATCTTCAGATCCTGACATCTGCTTGCTTGTACCATGAGGGCTTGGAGCCCATCCGTAAGTAGGTTTTAGTGACTTCATTTTCCAGAGTAAAATCACAGCATACCAGAGACGGGAGGAATTTTACTTTCATAGGTGATGAGTGGAAAGGTTACGCACTGGCAGGCTGCCCACACACAAGCAAGTTGTATGAACTGGGCAGACAGCCTGACTGGTAATCCCCAGAAACCACTAGGCACGCCGGCTAGTCGTGGCCTTGTCTTCAAGGCTCTCTCTCTCAGATTCTCCTCTTCTTGTGCTGGCGCCCCCTCCTCACACTCAGAGCAACGGGAACCCACCACCCCTAATTCTTACACTTGCTGTGTTTTGAGTCTCTGGGAAGTTTCCATGGATTACAGTGGAGAGTTTCGTGAAAGCAGCTTTTCCTTTGAACCCGCTGAGCCAATAAATCAAAATTTTCTTTAAAACACAAAATGAAGAACCTGATTTATTCCCAGCCAAACCTGGAAGCTTCGGGAAAGCTCCCCCATTTCCTAAACTTTTCATCTCTGGACTGTCAGTTCCAACAGAGAGATTCCAACTAGTCACGGGTCAGAAGCGGAGGAGGCGGTGGTGAAGCAGGCAAGGGAGAATCAGAGCGACAGGAGCTCAGCCCAGAAACTCCCCCTGGACCGTTTGCTGACCCCGAAGTCTTTCTTTCATCTTCTACGATTGTTGTTTCTTATCACTACTTGTTGGGCCAGAGGGAGGGGGTGTCGTCTAGGGTTAAAAAGAGAAGAGAGAAAAGGAAAGGGGAGACAACTTCGCCCCTCTGTGGAAACAGAAGCAAAGATGGTCTAGACTTTTGTGTCTCTGCTTGTTTTTTTAAGCTCAGTGTTTTTAATAGACTAAAAGAGAATCTGAAATGAGCTAATATGTATGTGAATAATGTTTGTAAAAAGGGTATATACTATGTCAGCCAGTATGGACAATTGCATAAATAAATGTTAGATATATAAAATATATAAACATGTATAGTTATTTCATAGGGCAGAGGACACTTAAGGACTTCCAAGCTGTTCATATCTTTGTTCCAAAAAGTTGGAGAGTCCCAGGGCTGGCAGCTTATTTGCCTAGAATATTCCACCGTAAAGCCAGGCAGTTGGGCAGGGGTTTGTTTGTTTGTTTCCTGGTTTTGTCACCTACAATGATCTGCATGGATCACTCTGAAATGTCGTGTGTGTGTTGGTGGTGTTTATCCACGTGAAGTCACTGGAGATCTGTTCCACACACTGCATCTTAGAAAACCAAAAGGAATTTTCTTGTGAAAAGAAAAATACACAGAGCATGCCTTCACTTTTGGGCAACTCACAGATACCTATTGTAAGTCTGACGAAATGGGAAGTTTAATATTAGAGTCATTGTCCCTCACTTAAATATTTGGCGTTGGATAACTTTTCTCCTGGGAAGGAAGCACATATTTTGAAGTTCTTTTATCTTGGACTTGACACATTCTAGATGAGACTAGAAGTCAGGGCCCTGAGGGCCACTCTCTACCATCTGTCTTCAAAGAACTAGCCACGTGTCAATTCTCCGTTTTATGTTCCGTGACTCAATGGCAGATGCAAAGCTGCTAGACCCAAAGCTCTCCTTGCTGTGTCTGTGGCTCCGATGAAGTGCTGAGCTTGCTCTCTGCCGCCAGGACGGATCAGAAGCAGCAGCCAAGGAACAAAACGGGGGAGAGGCCCTCCTGCAGCTCTTCCGTCCACCGAGAGCAAAACCGCACGGGAAACCCGTGCCTGAGACGCATCTACATAGTCTCCACACCGAGGAGCCGACCGCGGGGAACTGGAGGGGGCGCCCCTCGGTCCAAGGTGCTGGGAGCCTGTGCCGCCCTGTGTGCGCTTTAGCATGGAACAGTAAAGCAGGGCTGGCTGTCCGTCAGGCCCGGTTTTCTGAGCAGCTGGCTTGCAGACGGGAGAGCTTCATCGCAGTTCAATCATCCCATTGAGCATTTGACTTTCCCAAAGGGCTTTGGCTCCTGGCAGCTGCCCTGGACATCCAAGAGGGAGGGCTGCGACGGGAGGAATCGCGGTCGGACGGGAACTGCCTCACGTTAGTGGGGGTGTCTGGGGCAGGGGCAGGTGACACTCACTCTCCACGCCCACCAGGCTGAGATCACCTCCAGACAGCAAACGCCTCTGCGTGTACGACCACAGGGGCCCAGGAGGGCCTTGTGGCCAGAAGCCTTCTCTGCTCACTCAGTGCAACAGTTAGAAGCACAGCCTCCGGAGCCGGCCTGCCTGTCAGTTACCTGCTGTGTGGCCTTAGGCAAGCTGCTTGACCTCTCTGTGGCTCAGGTTCCTTTTCTGGAAAATGCAGATATAATAGCACCTTCCTGGGAGATGTGAAGGGTTAATTATCTTAAAACATGTAGAGTGCTCTGAACAGCACCTGGCACGTACAAGTACTCAATAAAACCAGTTTCCCACCTTCATTACATTTGCCATACGCACCATCTGTGTTATTTAATATTTCTATTTTGACTCAATTTTCATCTAAAATTAAATTGAAAAGTTTACATCCCATTGTAAATGGAAAACTAGTACAATTTTCTATGAATATAAGGCAGCAGCACAATAGTATTAACAGCTCATAGGTACTGAGTTCTTGCCACCTGTCTGGCACTGTGCCAAGCATCCTGACTCTGCTAAAATCTTCAGTGCCCTATAAGGTCGGTACTGTCATTTCACAGATGAGGACTAAGGCATAGAGAGATTAGCAAGTTTGCCTGTAGTAAATGCAGGAGGCAGTTCTGGCCTCGGAACCCCAGTTCCTCAGCGCGGTTCTGTGCTGTCAGCCTAACAAGAGCAGAATTCTGTTCACGTGGTAGATGGGTGGTGCATTCGCCTCCTAGGACCGCTGCAACGAAGGACCACAGTCGGGGTGGCTTACAGCAACAGACACCTATGCACTCACGGTTCTGAAGGACAGAAGCCCAAAATCAAGATGTGGGCAGGGCCGTGCTCCCTCCAGAACCTCGAGGAGAGACCCTCCCTCGCCTCTCCAGTGTCTGGCAGGCCCAGCTCTCCTTGGCTTGTGGCCGCATCACTCCAACCTCTGCCTCCAGCTTCGCAGGGCTGTGTTCCCTCTGGGTGTCTGTCTCTATGCCGGGTCTCCCCCTCTGGCAAGGGCAGCAGTCATTGGATTAGGGCTCCCCTTAATGACCTCCTCTTAACTGAATTATATTCGACCTATTTCCAAATAAGGTCACATGCACAGATACCAGGAGTTAGGACTTCGATGTATCCTTGGGGAGGGGGAGATGATACACAACTCAAACTGTAGCAGTTCTCGCCTAAGGCTTTGAGCTGGGGGCTGAAGACTTGCAAGTGTTAGAGCGTGGTCAAGATTAGTGGAAACGGAGACTTTCTCCTTTATGCAGTCAGGACTGGAGGCAGCAGGACAAGGAAGGGCGATGCTTGTCTGTGTCAGAGACGTTTAGTGCCTGGTCCAGATTCTAACTAAAATTAACTCTCTTCTGTCCCATCACAGGTACTCTGGGAAAAGGGACTTGCATAAGAAAGCCATAAACAATCCGTCTAGATTCCTAGACAGCCCCATGAAAGGACGGCAGGAGAAAGACGGGGGGAAAACACAGCCTTCCAAAACTCCAGGCAGGATGGGGGAGGGCACAGAACTCACCTCTAGGATCTGCCCTGTGCAGTTGGCCTGGAACAGGAAATTCAGACAAGTAACAGTCTTCATCGAGGGTACGCATAAAGAACAACAGTAAAGACAGTGGTGGGATACTATTTATCTTCACAGTATTTCAGTGAAAATTTAAAGAGGACAATCTCTCTATTGGGAGGACTGTAGGGGAGGCAGGGGAGGCAGGGGAGTGGGGGAAGTCTTCCTGCTCTGGCAGGTAAAGGTGTCCCGCGCTGGAGGGGCTGCGTAGACTTCATAGAGCTGGGAGGCCCTCTTCTTGAGTTCCCGGGCCACCTGACAGATGGCAAAGGGCCAACAGCAGTGCACGGCCAGCCAGTCCTCACACAGGGTGCCCTAGGGTGAGAACCGGGGCTCTGTGCTGATGCAATCCCACAGGCTCTTTTCCACTACCCAGGGCCTCCACGATACTACCTGGTGGCCCATCCCACCCACTGCTTCCAAGGTCCACCAACAACCGAAAGGCAGCTCCCAGGGGCCCCATGGCTGCCCCCGGCCGCCCACGAGCCAAGCAGCTCAGGGCTGGTCAGCCCTTGAATTCAGAGACCTGCCCTTAGTGCTTTGGACCCAAGCCACTGATTTCTCTGTCAACATTTTTTTTCCACTTAGGTCTCAATATTTGTAATTATTTTGTTTATTTCTTCAGAGTGGATAATAAATGCACATGGTCCCAAATCCCCACAGTAAGAAGAGATAGGAAATTAAAAGAAAATCCTAATTCTACAGCTGGCCCCAGTCCCCTAATTACCTGTTGGGGGACAATCTTTGTAGACAGTTTCTTATATAAATTGCAGATAAATTCTATGTCTACACAAGTATATACTTATCTAGTCTCTTATGTAAATAGTGCGTACTTCTATGCCTTGCTCTTTTTTCACTTAAAAATATATCTTAGGGATCATTCCCTATAAATACATAAAGAGATGCCCTTTGTGTTTGTAGGTATGACCTGTCTGTCCCCAGTCTCTCGCTGTACTTCATCTCAGCCACACTGGACACTGTCTTGCTCTTTGAAGTGTCTCCAGGGAGCCCCCAGAGTGAATCCTGCGTGTGCCACACAGGCTACCTTTTAAGGCAGACCATCCCAAGTATATCCTCCCAACTCAGTGTGATTCTACCGGCCACTTCCTCTCGACGTAGTTAAAGATGGAGACAGAAGTGCCCATTGACCAATAACGTGTGTTATAATAGGTCCTTCTGGGAAATACCCTTCACAAGATGGCATTGTGGTTAGCATACATCCTAGTAACAAATGTCATCAGAAATTTCTTCCCTTTTCTTCCCCAAAATCTTCCACTAAGTGAGGTGTTTTAAGCATCCTTGCCCAGACTCTCTTTTTTTTAAACACAGGTTTAAAAGGCATCCAGGACTCATTCATATAGATCGAGGTTCACATGTACGTTCAAACACACTCACCCGTATTTTATGTCTCTCTCTGGTGCCAACTCTTAGGGCAAAGGTGGACCCAGGTAGTAACGGCCAACAAAAACACTCTCCGTGATGCCTGGCGACGTCGCACTCGAGACACAGCGGGCAAAGCAGACCACAGAAGCCTGTCAACGACCACATGAAAGAGTCAGGGCTCTCGGGCGCGCTCCGAGCAGCTCTCCTTCTCCAAGAGCATTCACAGCCCTAGGCCATCAAGTGAGTACTGTATTGTCTCCCACAGTCAGGGCCTGAGAATGAATAGCCAATTCTCAAAACTCGGTGTATGAAAATTGTTATAACTGAGCCCCATCAAAATTGTCTTCTTTTGTTAAACACCGACAAAGCTGAATCTGACACAATTCTGTTAAGCGTTCACTATGGTAATTGTTTTTTCCTGTCAAGAGAGAAGCATTAAATAATTTTTTTACAGCTGAATCGTAACTGTTACTTCTATTATGCTCATCTCTCTAATTTCAGTATTTAAAATAGACACAGCGTATGGTACTTTTGAGTAACAGGCATCTTTTTCTGTAAGGGAGATTGAAAGTTCTTTCATGTACACTGATCCTGCCTGCTGTTCTTACCAGGACTTCATTCTATTTCTCAGGCCAGAAGGTTACTCTAATTTTTACTGGTTTTATGAAGCCACTGACACCTGCCAGTTTTAATCTGTAAACTATTAGAGGCTTGGTTCCTTGAATGTCAACTGAAAACAGTTTGTCACTTATTCATTCATTCATCTTTAACTACTTGATATTGTTTTCTACATGTTCTGCATGAACATCTAACACTGAGGTTCTGTCCTAACTGTGATTTGGGTCACTGACCATTTTGAGAATATGGTGATAGCTATGAACTCACTTCTCAAAGAAAAAGAAAAAAACATGCCCGCTGACATGCAAAATTGTGCATTCAATTTCACAGGTTTCAAAGTTCCACTGAAAATTATCAATGGACCACAGGTTAAGAAACCTTGATATATGGTTAAGATATTCGGTCACCTCACATTGCAAAAGGTGACCGCTTTGATGAATACAAATAATTAGGACTATGAAACAGAAGAAAAAATAAAAACTAACCATAACCTTTAAATATATATTCAGTAACTACGTTATTCAGGAATGGTTTACATAGGAGAAAATGCAGAGGTCGTAAATGTTCAGGTGGGTAAGTTTTGACAATCACGTTCACCCAAATGTAGAACATGAGCCTCACCCCCGAGAGCTGCCCACCCCACAGACATTCCCAGTTCTCTCACCCCCATTCCAGAGGCAACCGCTATTCTGCTTCCTATTCACATGGATGAGTTTTACCTCCTCCTGGACTTCATATAAATGAATCAGGCTTATTTTCATATCCATCTTCTTTTGTGCAACGTCATGTTTCTTGAGCTTCATCAGTGTTACATGAATCTGTAGTCTGTCCTTACTGTTGTTGAGTAGATTCCCATGTATGCATATCCCACCAGTGGCTTATCCATTGTCCCATTGATTATTTCATGTTTTGCTATCATGAATAAGTACTGTGAACATTCCTAGACAAGTCTGTATGTGGACATATAAATTTTCATTTCATCCAGTGGATTCCTGGAAGGAGAATTGCTATGTGATGGGGTAGATTGTTCGACTTTACAAGAAACAAACAGTTCTCCAAAGTGGACATTTTACACTCCCACCAGTAATGTATGAGAGTCCTAGTTGCTGCACGTCTTCACCAATATTTGCTGTTGTCAGTCTTGCCTATTGTAGCCATTCTAGTGACTGAAATGGTAGTGATCACAGCCTTTTAGTGCACCGGAAACGAAGGCTCACATCCCACGTTACCAGCTCACTAGAAGAACTTCCTGTCACAGGCCTGTGTCTGCCTGCCCATCCCTCCCTCTCTCCCCAACAGGGAGGCAAGCAGTCACACTCCCCGATTCAGTGACAAAGAAGCAAAAAGCTAGGAATCCTGTTTGACCTCCAGGAAATGCTCCAGGGCTCTGGACTGCAACTTGACAGAGGGGGCGACGTAGCACCCCAGCATGCCAGGTGGGGGGCGCAGAGGGAGGAGGACAAGCAGCAGCCTGTCCTCAAGGAGAACATCTACGCCGTCCACCCGCATGTCTCAAGTTAAATAACTGAATCACGCTCTGCAGGCACTAAATCGTCACCTGACCCAAAGCAAGCTCTGAGTTCAGCCTTGAGTAAGTCTGGGATGTTTCAGCCCACATTTTTTTTTTTTAAAGTCATGACTCCAAGCAAGATCAGCGGGCCCCATCGACAACTGGTACAAACAGCTCAGACAACAGAAGGCACAGGAACCTTACAGCGAGTTGAGTGGCCATGTTGTATGCAACCTTCAGTTAGGGGACTTTGAAATCACGGCACATAAAAATCAATCAAATCTCATTTTAGGCATAGATTGCAAAATAGTGTAAATGCCTGCAAATAAAAAATTTGTCAAAAATTGCATAATTATAAAGCTGGCAAGCAAAGTGAGGAATGAATCATGTTCACACAATTGCCTGAGCTGCACCACTTTAACTGGCAAAGAGACATGCCCACTGTCCTCAGTAAGTATCCTGTAAAGAGGTTATTTTGTGCATTGAAAGTCCTGTATCTTATTTTTATGACTTCTATGCTTTTTTAAAAACACAGGCTGTTATTTTTATTTTTAATCCTTTCCATCATATAACCATGTTATCTAAGTATTCGGTAGGAGGTGTACCACATGCTGAAGGAAACACACCCAGACACACGTTCAATTACCTTGAGACAGAAGTCAGATATGATAATTAAAAAAAGCACTATGAAAGCCGAACTTTGTGGTATAGTATCTATAGTGACTTCACCTGTAACATCTGACCAAGACCTGCTAAAAATACTTTGCATCCATTAACTCATTCGGCTCTCACAACAATCCCATAATGTAGATACTCTTATTTTGTCCATTTTACAGATGAGCAGACTGATGACCAGATGACTTTTTTGCCCGTTCGTACGTTTCTTAGGAAGGGGCAAAGGCCAGGTTTGAGCTTAGCAGTCCGGTCCCTAAGTCTTTACCACACATAACACGCGTCCATATGTTCTCATGTCTCACGTATTCACTGAGTACGCCACAGTGTTTGTGGATTTGCCTGCTCCAGACGGCGTCCTTACTGCCACTACTTCCTGTCTGCTCCTGCGGGACGCTCTTGAATCACGCGCCTAAAGAGGTAGGTGAGGACAGATCTTCGTCGGGCGTCACCGCGCCGCACTGTGTGTGGTGCAGTGGGATAAACCCTGCTGCGCACGCTCAGGAAGGATGCAGAAGAGCGGGCTGATGGCATCCTTAGTCCTAAAGAGTCTCTACGAGAAAACTCTGCGACACGCATCACAGGCTAAAGGTAAGTATCCAGAATCTAATATATCAAGAACTCAATACATAAAGGATTAAACAAAAGAAGAAAACGGGCAGAGGACATGAGCTGGTAAATCACCGAAGAGGATATGGCCAGTAACAAACAGGAAGAGTTGCTCAGTGTTGTCAGTAATTAGGGAAATGTGTATTGAGATGATTAGAGATCACATTTTTTTTACCTAGGAATACCAAATTTTCTAAGTTTTTTAAATACCTAGCTTTGTAGGGAGCCATAGCAAAATAGGAACTCCACACACGGATGGAAGCAGACATTGGCATGGCCACTTTGGAAGGCAACATATTAAGTCTAGTGAAATTTTAAATACTCTAGGATCCAGTTAGTCCACTTACCAGTATCTACCCTAGAGCAACGTCTGCACATGTACCAAAGAGGCAGGTGCAAGGATATCCATGGTGGCATTATTTGTAGTTTGAAATTCAAAACAAATGTGCATTAATAGATGCAAGTGTAAATAAACATGATGGTGCCAACCACACTACAGAATAAGCAAGAATGCACTGAAAGATCGATTAAGTACCAAGAGAGTTAAAACTGTAAGATGTAGCTTGAGTTAAAAAAAAATCAAATTGCACAATGATATGTACAGTATAATACCATTTTATGTTTTGTTTAAAGGTACAAAGCAATGGTGCCTATATTACTACTGGACACATGTGTAAATACAGAGAAAAAGATCTGGTAGGAAACCCACCAAATTGATTTAATAGAGAAGGTGGGACATGGTTCCCTTTCAGTAATGTTTTATTTATTTTTATAAAGTGACCATATTCATGTTTTTTGTGAAGTAAAAATACTATATATATAAAAGCACAAATATAAATATATATGTACGTGTATCTTAAGGAGCTTAGGCTCAAAAGGGATTTGAGCCATAAATTCGGCCTCTTCCTCTTATACCCAAAGGCCTGGGAGTTCCATAAGCACCATCGCCTAAATGCTCCTGCTCTGTTCTCTGAGACGGGCTCCACCCTCATGCATGGAATGTTCATTTTTCATTTTTCATCCTGCTAACTCACGGGGGAGTCAAGAGAAGCCTACACAAACCCAGAGTGTGCGGCCCCAGAGAGCAGAAGTGGGGAAAAGGGTGGGTGGAATTGCAGCAAGACACATTTCAGATCAATTAGTACAAAAAGGCAGAACCATCTACCAGTAAGAGATGCTCAGAAAAGGAATGGCACACTCATACATTGTGGGTGTGAGTGTGAATTAGTACAGCTTCCAAATGGAGAGCCACTGGCAACATCAAGATTTAAAGCGGTACATACTATTTGACCAGCAGGTTTACTCCTCAGCAACTACCCCAAAAATAAACTCACACACACACAAAAGGACCTCAGTATGAGGATGTTCACACCGTACTGCTCTGAACAGCAAAAAGTCTGGAAACCACACACAGGCCCACCAACGGGGATTTGGGGATCGGATCAATTACGGTGCATTCACACACAGGATCTATGCAGCAATTTAAAATACTAGCTTCAGAATTGCTGATGTGGTCTGACCACCTAGATAAATTATTAAATTAATGTTTAATTTAAAAGCACAGAACTGTGTGTTTACAATTCTACTATTTGTGTAAGTTACATACACACAATACAGCAAAAAATCTGAAAGGACACATACCAAAATGTTAATGGTTATTTCTGATGGCTAGGATTACAGGATACTGACTTTTTTCTCTTGGAAATTTCTGTATTTTTCTTTTTCACAATGATTGTATAATACTTTTATAACAAAAAAAAATCCATCATTTTCCATTTGAAATTTGTTTTGTATGTTTACAAGCACATAGACTATGTCTGGACTCAGGTGGCAGTGGCTGCCTCTGGGAGAAGAGCTCAGTAAGGGGCAGCAGGGGTGGGGTGCCAGCTTTTCATAAACCAACGGGGAGGTCCTTTTGAATTCTGCATCATGTGCATGATAACCTAGTTAAAATCTTTTCCTTTTTATTTTTTTAAGCCCTGAGCTGGCTCCAGAGAGCAGCTCTCCTCCCTGGACCTGCCCGGAAAGCCAAGGCTGTCGGGTCCTTTGCCAGGCAAGCTGCAGAGGGACTTGGGCCGGCTTTAGGATTCTTTCAATCAAGTGCAAGACAGACAGAAGGAAATGAGGTTACAGGGTAAAATTCTTTCACTGATGTGTCGTTCAGGAAATATTTCAAGTGCCTCCTGGGGGCCCCAGAGCAGTGAGCCAGACAGCAGTGGTCCCTGCTTTCAGAGCGCGCACCGTTCACCCGGGATGCGTTGTGGGGGCACGAGCCCCAGCCTGAGGCACTCTCACACCTCCTTCCTCTTCCAGAGAACCGAAGGAAGCCCTGACCTGCTGCACAGCGCCCATGCTGGCAGCTGATGGCCCCTGGTCCGCACCACACTCTTCACTGCCTGTTGATTACCGTGCCCTCAGGGGGGCGGTGTGAGTGCCTGGTGCTGTCCCATCTTTCTGCTTAAATCAGTTCCTCCCAATCCCCTCCTTTCCTAACACCCTGCTTATTTCCTCATAGCACTCTATCACAACGGCAATATTTTGTTTGTTGACTTGCTTATCTGCTTATTATCTGTCTCCTCTGAGAAACTGCCTCTGTCTTATTCACGATTATGTCTGTAACACCTATTATATGTCTACCCATAGGTCGGAACTCTGTAAATACTGGATGAATTACAAACCAGTGCTGATCATACCCTTGGCACACACCTTCCCTGTGTGTTCCCAGCTTTGGGAACGCCCAGCCTTCCAGCCTCGGTGTCACCTGGCTCCTACTCGCTTCCCCTGGGCTTCGTCTCCACAGAGGGCTTTCAGCAGCCACAGCTCCCAAGGGCGCAGAAGCACCCAGCTGCTAATCCCAGGGCAGTGCGAATTCACACTGAAGCACAGAGGTGGGAAGAGGGGAGCACTTGTAGAAATACAATTGCAATAAATTGAGGAAGCAAAATGTCAAAAAGAGATGGAAATCTTCACTGCTCATAATGTACCCTTTGTTTAATGGATGACAAATTATAGCGATAATCCTCAACGTTTAATGGAAACCTGTCCCAGGGTGGGAATCTGGCGTGGAACCAAGTCATGGAAAGAAGCTCTCCTTTTTGTTCCCAAGTTTGCCGCAGCTATTTTCACAGTGATTTGCTTGAAACGAAACTTTGCAGGTGAAGAAGCCCTTTTAAACAAGGAAGGAAAGAAACTGAGGAAGCACAGGACTCAGACTCCAGCTGCATGCTGGGAGGTACAGGGCAGACAACGAGTGGGAAAGTGATATTGCCTTTAAATTTTCTTCCAAAAATTTAAAAGTTCAGAGACACTGTGAGCAGTCACAAAATGAAGGCCCACCCGGGAAACAATTAGGGCACAGAACATTCAAGATCACCTTTTACTGCATCACCATGGCCTCTCCTCCATGCATGGTGCCTGATTTCAAAGAATATTGTATTTCTTCACATGTCCTTCCTTCTCCTCTTGCCCCAAAACTGCCTCTCAGACGGGTAGGCAGGGAGTCCTCAGGAGCCCCCGCACGGCTGGTCTCCTGGACCTGACGGTGGCCGGGAGCAGAGCTAAGGGCGAGGCGGTGTTTGAGGCAGAGCTGGCGGCGAGGAGGGGTCCTTTCTTTGCCAAACTTTTTAGATGCTCTTGGGATTGGGTAGAAATCACTGTGCCACGGCCAAGCTAAGCCTCCTGACTCTACTCTTTGCTCTCAACATGATAGAGGGTAATAAAAATTATAGTCAGGATAAAATGCCTAAAAGTCACTAGTGCATTTTGAATATTTATTGGGATTTCCTGATAACAGCACCTATTAGTACACTTAGGAAATTATCCTTTCACTCTCGTGGGCAATACTGATAGGATTGTCACTCAGAATGCCCTGCCTGGCCAAGCGTAGGCACATGACTTAAGCTGGGAAATTGGGCTTCATCTGCACAACATCCATTCTGATGGGAAAACAAGATAAAAATGTCTGAGGCTGACCAGACTGTCAGCTAGTTCCTGATAATGCATCTTGTCCCTTCTGAGCTTAGTTTGCAGTTGTTTTTTTTAAACTCTGTGAGCTACCCCATAGCCTTCTAATAATATCCAGTGTATGATTCTGTATGAGTTTCCTAGGGCTGTCGAAACAAAATACCCAAAACTAGGCACCCTACAGCAATAAAAATTATTCTTTCACTGGAGAATTCTGGAGGCTAGAAGTGTAAAATCCTGGGGTTGGCGGGTGTGATTACTCTGGAAGGGCTAAAGGAGAGGCTGTCCACACCTTTCCTAAGGGGGCAATTCTTGGCATTCTTTGGCCTGTAGCTGCATTATTCCAATCTCTGCCTCTGTCTTCAAACGGCCTTCTCTTCTCTGCGTTTGTATCCAAATTTCCCCCTTCTTATAAGAACACCTGCCATTACATTAGGGTCCACCATTTGAGAGGACACACTTCCAAGCGCAGCATGCAACCAAAAACATCTCGGATCCAGTTACGTTCCAAACCAGCGTTACGAGTGGGTTCCCTGCACTAACTGCTTTAATCCTGACAGCGGTTCTTGACATGGGCCTCTTTATTATCCTCATTTTAGAGATGGAAAAATTAAGACCCAGAGAATTTGTTTAAGGTTGAATGGCCAGTGAGAGGCGGAGTTAGCATTCAAGGCAGGGTCTGTATCTGATAGAAGCCTGTTCTCCTACCCGCTGCCTAACATTCCAGGCTTTGCCCTGCTTGGAAATGCGTTGATGGCCTCCCAACCCCACTACAAGTCATGACAGGAAAATGGTCCTCTTCCCAGTTTGGAGGTAGGTCTCATAGCTCCACCTCACTGCTCTGCTTTCTCCGTGTCTCAGTCCTGGGCGACAACAAAGCCAGAGAATCCGGAAGAGAACCAGGAAGAATCCTGAAAGAATCAGCAAATGTTGGAAGTGCATGTGGGAGCAGGGTCAGAAGCAACCTGCTGAGCTCCGGGTCAGACAGGCAGGGACGGAGGGGAGGGCCTGGCGCTGGGCAGCCTCTTCTCTGTGAGGTCCGGGCACATGGTGAAGGCTCCAGCCTGCGCCATCAGAGCACCAGAACATGTTGTGAGAGCTGTTGCCTGAGCAAGGCTCTCGGCTGAAAAAGGGCTTGGATCCCATAGCCGCTCAGGACTTCCGGACTGGTCCATCCGTGAGGCTTGAGGATGAATTCGGGTCTTCCCAGAAGCCTTCAAAGGGTGCAGACAGCCTTATTCTTTTAAGATATTAGATCCAGGGTCTGCTGGATGTTGAACTGGAGAGACTGACCCTTGTCGATCAAGGGCTCCCCCACCCCTGCCCCGCACTACCACCCCCAGCCACCCACCCGAAAGGATTCTGAGACCGAGCTGCTTCCCAGGGCAAGGGCATCAGGTCCAGGAAGGGATACTGACACGTGGTCCCAGAGATGGGTCAGGGCGTCCTAAGGTAGAAACAGGCTCGACATGCTTTGAGCTTCAAACCCAGGGGAAAATTGTGTGGCTAGAGCGCAGGCTCGCTGCTACCTCTTAATGGCTAAACCAGAACCTGAAAATACTTTGATCAACAAAGAGGGCTTCTTTCTGTGATTGTTCTGCCTGTTATTAGAGTCCTACAGCTCCCCCAATTACTAGAAAGAGATAAGCAAAATGAAAATGAGAATTATTCATTAGCCTCCAGGTGGTATCTGCTGTAAAATTTGTAGTTGTAGTCTTCATATTTTTCTAAATATTTCTCACCCAAAATGGTGTCTAAACTGCTTGGTTTTATACTCTGCTTCTTTACCTTAAAAAAGGCATCCAAAACATCTTTTCCTCCCACTAAACACTATTCTGCAATGTGACTCTTTGTGGCTGTGCAACCGCTCACTGTGCGGGCGCCCCCACTGAAGGTTCAGGCTGCTCCAGATATCTGCTGTGACAACCACTGCCTCAAAGTTTAATGTTGTCACTAAATCTTCACACATGATTTACTTCTTTAGACCAAATGCCTCAAATGTAATTCCTGGGTCAGAGCTATGTGACTCTTGAGGTTCTTTTTACATGTACTGCTGACCAGCCACCAGGAAAGGCTGTCCCAGTTCACACTCCCACCAGCAGCAGACAAGGGGGCCCGGGTCTTACATCTTTGCCAACCGTGGATCTTTGAAGTCACCACTTTCTCTACAAAGGCATTGTTCCTGTATCTGGGTCACTACATGAGTCCAGATACTCTGAAACCATTCACTTCCTGTCCTTGGGCCTAGTGTCGCTTTTCTACCCACTGATGTCTGGGGGAAGGAAACAGTAAGGGAGAACTCAAACGAGGAGGAAAAACCTACAGATTCTCCTGTCACTGCAGATACTGAAGAGGCCAGTGCTCCAGTCCCCACCAGCCTGGACAATCGTGAGCATGGTCCTGCCACCGGCTCCCTGGACAGGCTGCTTCACCACCACCTGGGCGGCCGCCTGGCTCCTGCAGAGTCAAGGACGGTGGTTAACTTGGAAACAAAGAGGGTGGTTCAGAAGGATGACCATTAAGTGAGACAGAGCGGTGAAGAGGAGATGGGCTCTTGATTCAAGGCCGAGCTGACCTCCCCATCCCCCCACCTCCCTCATCACGCCTTCTCCTCTGACTTCTTTGCCCCAGCTCTATTAACAGCACTATTATCTGCGTCCTGCCACTCCAACTCGGTGTCCAGCCTACTTCCTCAGTGTTCATAATAGTTGAAGTCACAAATGTGGAAGCAAGAGGCCTCAGGTCAAGTCCCAACATGCCACCTCCTGGAAGCCTGACCTTGGTTAAGTTCTTAATCTCTCTGCATTCCATCTGTTCAAATGTAAGATAAAAAATACTCCTGCATAGGGCTATGGAGTTGACTGAGGACATGCAGGACATTCACTTGGCTTATTGCCCCCAGAGCAGGAGCAACAAGGTGACCCTGAGTAAGGCTACCTAACGAGGGCTTTGAAGAAACCAGTAAGTTGGCCTGAGCTCGTACACCCAAAGCCGGACTAGGCTACATGCAGTACCATTTCAGTGAATAACCCAGACTTCAGGATGTCTTCACATCAAATTACCGTATGGTTGTCCGCATGAGACCACAAAGTACAACTTTGGGCTGATTTTTCCAGAAGGGAATAGATATTCCACCCAGTCATCCTAAGATAGGAAATGCAGGCCCAAGGGATGGGCTTCAAAAATGAGGTGAGGGAAAACCTCCTGCTTCTGGGGCTCAAAGTTACTTTTGCCAGAGCCCCTCCCGTGGGGATGGCTGCCATGAGTCCCATAGAGACGGTAAGGTGTGCCGGGCCTCATGGAAGGGGCAGGTCAAGAGTGGGGGAGAAGGGGGCGCCCTGGAATGAGTCTGAGCCTGGACAGAGCAGTAATATTCCCTTTTGTGCTTCCCTTGTGGCAAGCCTCAGTAAGAGTTTGCACTAGGTGTCTGGAATGCTGTGAAGAATTAATGAGCATGGTTCATACTCGAGACAAGTAAACAAAGAACTTTCTGTAACAGCTGTTGTGATAGTAACAGTCACCAGTGTTCAGCCCCTGGGGCCCACGGCCTGGAGGCCAGAGTGGAACATTCCAAGCACCTTAAAGGCAACACCCTGGGGGCATTTTGGAAACATGGGGGTCCCTTTGAGAACCTCTGCTTTGGGCCAATAAATCCCATGAGATTTCATGTTGCCATAATATGGGGTGCACAGTTCTTGTTAAGATCCACATCTTTTTCATCTCACCAATACTGACCAAGTCTACACCCTCCCCAACAGGACTTCACATTAGCTTGTTAAAAAATCAATATGCAAGCCTCGCCACAGCCCAATGGCCCAGGTCCGCAGGCGTGAGGTGTGGAGATCGGTATTCATACCAGGGCTCCCAAGCAGGTCCTATGCAGTCATCCTGAAAGCGATACAGGTGGATGTGGAGACCACTGGTGAGGCCTGCAATGTCATTGACCTTCTGAGGCTCGCCCTAGGTAGGTGGTGCTGTCAAGGTAACGGGGATGGCCAGGAAAACAGACGAGGAGGTAGGCTGGAAGGGAAGACGATGCTCGGAGCGCAGCCAGTCGCAGTGCCAGTGAGACCTCCCCTGGACATGCTGCCCTGAGCTTGGAAGAGAGGTCAAGGCTGGGGGTTCCTGCCTCGGGTGTGAAGTGGAGCTATGAAACATCCCCTCTTATCTGTTCAGCATTACACACAAAGCTTAGGGTCTAAGATTTTCAAGAGCCTACAAAAGTGTTTGAGACCTGGAAAAAAGTATTGGCTCCAAAATATAAAAACTACAAAATAGAAGGAAGTTAATGCTCAATTAAACATGAAAATTGAACATTAGGCTGATCTCATTAATTGTCAAATTTAGAATTCATAAATATTTTATTACACTTGAAAACAACTTATAACTCTCTCGTTTTGCAAAAAGTCCCAAATATGAATGATTGCTGAGGAGCAGCAATCATAAACTGAATTAATTACTCATAGCCAAATAATCTCAAAAGCGAAGTTTCGAAAGTCCTTTCACTTAGTGTGCAACAAAAAAGTACATGGACATCATGTCTGGTACTGGGTACCTTTTAATACATTTGTTCTGACATGGGTCAGGACCTAGTGTTGTGGACTGAATTGTTACCCCACCACCACCACTTCTACGCTGAAGTCCTAGCACCCAGTGTGACTGTATTTGGAGGTAATTAAGCTTAAATGAGGAATGGAGTGGGATCCTGGTCTGATAGGATTGGTGGTCTTAGAAGAGGGAAGGCCACGTACACACACACGGAGAAGGCCGGAAGCCAGCAAGAACGTCCTCGCCAGAGCCCAACCGTGCTGGCACCCTAGTCTTGGACTTCCAACCTCCAGAACTGTGACAACATAAAATTCTGCTCTTTAGGCCACCCAGTCTACTGCACTTTCTTATAGAAGCCTGAGCAGACTAAGACACCTACCAAGATTTCAAACAGGCCCTGAAGAAACTACTTTATACCTATCTTATTCCCTCTACCTCCATGCGAGCTCCCTGAGGTCAGGGGGTACACCTTGCTTCCCCCTGTACCCCCAGAATCCAACACTATCTTGAATCCTAGTGGGTGAATGATATTTATTGAATTGAAGCAAATAGAATTCACAAGTCTCGTCCATTACATCTGAGTCCTCCTCAAGTCTGGCTCTAAATCAGGTGACCTTACCTGTTTCATTCTCTAGCAAAGGCACAGTTCTCAGGTATGAACTGATGAAATAAACATAGAAGGTAGCATCCCAATTATCTCTGAGTTAGTAGAGGAATTTCTGAGGGCAGAGCCCATGGGTTAGATTTTCCCCTGAAATGAACTGTTTAAAGCTTGCAGCCCTAGAAGAGAATTTTCTCCTTCCATCTCAGCATTATGTGCATAACACCTTTAATCATGGTGTGGAAGCCTGTCCTACCTATTCCAAATCAAATAACCAAGAGGACAGTGTTTTCTTGGTGGGAAACGAAAGTTGTTTCTGTGCATTTACCTAATTTTTAATTCAGGAAATATAATGTTGAGTTTATTTCCTTAACACCCTGAATTTTTGCTAATTTTCATATTAAAATGCTGCTACTGACATACAGTGGCTAAAATGTTTCAGCTCAAGAATATAGCACATATGTCATAATTAAAATAACAAGCATCTTCTATGGGCCAGGCACTCAGTAGTTCCTTTAAGAACTGATAATTATCCAGGGACTGCTGCAGGTATCAGACTAAAGTAGTATTGTAACTTCCTGAACAGCTTTTAGCTCTGTGTATTACCCCAGGGAATCCTATACTATCATTAAAAACAGGAAGGAGTTTGGAAACAGCAAGTGAAGCTCGTGGTCAGAGATTTGCTCATTCAGAGCATCTGGCCATTTGCCGTCCAATCAGCAAGTTTTTCATTTAGTGAAAGAGGACAGGTTTTATATTCAGGCACACTGAAGTTCAAATGTGGCTTGACTGCATTCTAGCTGTTTGACCTTGGGGAACACCACTTGTCACAGCCCTCAGCTCTGGTCTCCTCTCCCCAAAAATTTGGAATTAGAATATCGTGCCTCCACAGTTGCCATGAGGATAAAACAAGATCACATACTTGGCACGTAGTCAGTATGGAGGAAGTGGCAATTATTATTATTATGACTTCAACTTAAGGATCCTGCACATACCCTCGGGCAGTCTGCACACTTCTCTAAAGAACAGAGGAAGATCCGGGCAGTTTCTCAGTGGTTTATGTGCTACACAAATACCTTAATGTCTAATCACAGTGATCAGTCATCCCAATTTGCCCAAGACTAAGAGTTTCCCAGGGAGAAGCTAACAGTACTAAAATCAGGACAGTCCCAGGCAAAACAAGGTTACCCTAAGAGACAGACGCAGAGGTAGGCTCCCCCCATGGCAGCCAGAAGGCTGACTCCGGTCTCTAGCTCTCTGCTCCTAGCGGGCAGCAGTGTTAGATGGACACGACACACCATTCACCGTTTCTGACCTAACTCCGTCCTTCTTCCCAGCAGCTGGGCACATTTCCCAGTGTGTTCCCACATGCTCGGTGCTTCAGCCTGCACAGGGGAGTTGGGGGGGTGGCGTATTTCATGCCACTCTCTTCTTAATGAAACTTGTACTGAGTTGATTCTGCCTTCCACTCAGGCCTCCTTGATTATTTCAGTCTTAACTGAAGCCAAAATCCTTGAGTTTTTATTTCAAAAGGGTGGAAACTATTGGCAGCCACCAGAAATAGTTTCACTTGGTTAGGGTTCAACATTTTAAGTTAATAATAAAGAGACACCCTCTCAACCAAGACTGCCCTTCTCTTTTCACTGGCCAAGGCCAGAAGGAACTTATCAGTTGCCCCCTTTCAAGTACACATGGGAAATGACAGCAACGACTTTCTTCCCAAGCCAGGTTTTCTTTCCCCTGGTTCCCTGTAAGTAGATTGATTTGATACTCTAACCAAAAAGCAAAAGCTGAGGGTAAAGAATCACCCTACTCCATACCTCAGGTTGGAAATAAAATGTTCATCTTCCAACGATATGGGTGAGAGCGACGGAGGTGACTGTATGGTGAGGAAGGAAACATCCTCATGAAACCCAGAGATGTGATTTCCAAAGCAATTCATAGTGCGAGCTGTTTTCTGTCCGCAGGGCTGTCCTTTTTGACAGTAAGCTGGCTGATTCTAAATTTGGTTCAATCCAAAGGGGAACATCTCTTCTAAAGAATGTTGCCTTGACATTCTGGAACCTGAGGTCAGAGCAGTGTAACTGACATCTTATTTCTTCAAAGTCAGGTACACATCTAACTATGGGCAAATCCATCTTACTTATCTTAACAGAGATACTGCTGAAGATACAACAATGTAAGTTAAAAATAAAAACTTTTTGGTGGGAAAATCCTTTTGCTTTGAGAAATACCTCTAGTAAATATTTATTTAGCTGTCACTTAGCTTTTCCTTAGGGGACTCAAAAGGCTACATATTTCTGCCATGCCATGTAGCTGAGAAGCAACAGGGACTTTATGAATCCCAAAACTAACTCCAGAAAGTTCCAGAAATACTCAAAATATCTTTACAATGGAAGGTTCTGAGTGTTTTTTTTAAAAAGTATCTTTACAACAGAAACCCTAGAAATTATTTTAAAATATATGTCTTTATACTGGAAAGTTTTGGAAGTGATCGACATGTATCTTTAAAATGTAAAATTTTGGAAATTATCAAATTTAGTATTCCTAAGAGTGGGACAAACTGATATGTATCTTTTGATATAATGCAATAGGAAGTAATGTTTAACCTAAATTTCATCAAGTCTCTAGACCACACTGTCCAATAGAAATGTACTGTGAGCCACACATACAATTTTAAATTTTTTGGTAGCAATGTTTAAGAAACAGAGGGAGTTAATTTTAACAAATTTTATTTAATATATTTACTGACCCAATTTATTCAAAGCATTATTTCAGCATGTAATCAATGTAAATTATTACTGAGATATTGTATATTCTCCTTGTCATGCTAAGTCTCTGAGACCTGCACTCAGTCTGTCTTTACAGCACACCTCCACTCAGACTGGCCACATTCCAAGTGCTCTAGACACCTGTGGTCAGTGGCAAAACTACTGGGCAGCACAGCTCTAGCCCCTGACTCCTCTAAAAGGCAAACATGGGGGAGAAGAACAGACTCCCACCCACTCCTCCAAAATGAAAGCACAGTAAGTCCCATCTTTGTCACATTCCGTAAGCCTTTAAGAGCAAGGATCATGTCCCATCCAATTTTTGTGTCTTTCGTGTGTGTATAGGGGTGGTCCCCACCTTTTAACCAGTTAGGCCCTAAACACAGCAGGAGGCAATTAGAAAACTTCCCCAATGCTGCAGGTTTTGGGTAGCATCTGAGTATTTACTAATACAGATGCGAAGTTACATCCAAAGATATTAAGGAGAGAAAACAGCTTAACAAAGTGCCAGCTAACATTGAGAACCTACCAGAGCCGGGCACATAGATATCTAATAAATAGTCATCAGAAAATGACTAAATGAATTGATTTTTCAAGAGAAAAACAGATGGACACAATTATTGTAAACTAGAGGAGATACATCTCATTTCCACTTCAAAAATTTGCAGATCCCCCCAGATGATTAAGTTGGAATTTCATCCTGAAATCCAAGAATCTTCATAATAACTCACAATCAACCTATCTATTTCCAATTTTTCTCTCAAAAGGACACAGGAACCAGCCTGAATGGGGCTCCCACTGGATAATTTAGGAAAATTTGAGCATCAAGGCATAATAATAATAGACTATAGCATACATGAAAAAAAGAATCCATCAGTCCACAGTGATTTGAAAAGAATGAATTTTAAAAACTGGAAGCAAAGGGGAAACCTCTCCTTTACAGAAAATTACAACTTAATAATGTAGAAGAAATGATAAAATTAAGAACTCACCTTATTACAGCTACCAGAGTAATAACTGGCAATGATCCATGAATGCTACTATTTCATGAAAGTTTGCTAGTCAACAGGATACTCATGCAAGTCTCAAAATACCACCTTACAGACTAATTAATTACAGAAGGGAAAAGGTACCTTTCCAAAGGAGAAACATGAAGATATCACTTTAATGAAGTGGTCGGACTTGGCATCACCCATAATGGAAACCCCTCGGCCGCAGGAGAACCCTGGCGCGGCACAGTGGGGCTCTCGTCCACGCAGTGGCCCTGCCGGGACTTCCAAGTCTGAATCTACCCGTGAGAAAACAGGCACATTCAGATTGCAGTGCAAACTACTCACTGGCAGGGAGTCTTCAAAAATGCTAGTCATGAAAGACCAAAAAAGAAAACAGAGGAATTGTCTTAGTTTGAAGGAAATCAAGAGACATGACCACAAAATGTGATGCTTCATCTTTGATTGGATCCCAAGGGTCAAAAGGAAAAAATTATTGATGAGATATTGAGGAAATTTTATTACCTCATTTTTATTAGGAAAGCTTACTACATAATATTATTGCATCAAAGTTAAAGTCCTTGAGCAAAATATATGTGTATTATGATTCCACAGGAGCATGTCTCAGCTCTTAGGAGTTACCTGGTGGAGCACTGGAAGATGAAGTGTCACGGTACCTGCAACCTATGGTGTCTAGCAGATGGTTCAGAATTTTTTTTAAAGTATATTATAAGTACAAAGTGGTATCCTGATAGGATCCTGTAATAGTAAAAAGACATTAGTGGAAACACTGGCAAAATCCAAACAAAACCTGTAATTTAGTTAACAGTAACATACCAACATTAAGAACTTAGTTTTGACAGCTGAACTAAGGTTATCTAAGGATGGTAACATTAGGGGAAACTAAATGAAGGCTGCACAGGAATTCTCTGTATGATGGATGGATCTTCTCTGTAAATCTAAAACTATTCCAAAATAACAGGTTTATTTTTAAAAATGTGTATTTGGAGAGAGAAAGCAAATGCGACATAATGTCAGCAATTAGCAAATCTAGGTAACAGGTTATATGGATGTTTACTGGCCAAATTTTTTGAACGTTTCTGTAGGTTTAAAATTTATCAAAAGAAAATAAAACTTCAGAAGATTACAAGTAAAAGGATGGACTAAGATATTCCACATGAACACTAACCAAAAGAAAACTGTTATTTTATTGACATCATAGCTTTTAGGGAAAATCATTTCTAAAAATACATACTTCCTAATTAGAAAAAGTTCAATTTACCAGGAATAGAATCTAAATTTACATGCATATAATAACACAACAATCAAAACATATAAACAAAAACTGTCTTAAAAGGAGAAAAAGGTAAATGCAGTCATCATTTTAGTACATCTCTCAAAAACAAGGAGTTAGCCAAGAAAACAAAAATAGTAGGATGTAGATTTGAATAATTCAGTCTGCAACTATGACCTAATGAGCATATAGAGAACTCTACGATTGCAGAGTCAACATTCTTTTCAAACTCACGTGGAACAGGCACCAAAACCGATCCTACACTAGACCACAGGCCCGCCTCTACGGGCTTCTGAGGGGCTGGCATTGTGCTGTTCTGACTGATGATTACATAGGTTTCTGCTTTGTTGATAAGCTGTTTTGATGTTCACTTTCTGTATTTAATGTATTTGTGTGTATATTGTATGTTTCATGTTCACTTTTTGTGTTGTGCACTGTATTTCATATTAAAAAGCATGAAAAGCTTTTAGGAAGATACCAATCTTTTATCAATAAGCTCAGGGCAGTCTGTTTTACCTTCAGCACTTCAACTAATTGCTTTTCTTCAGTTGAGCAGCAAATGAAGTAATGGGCTTATGCTTAGGGGCTTCCTTGTAAAAAACTCCTGTATCTTCAAACACAAGAGGCATATTCAGCTCAGCAAGATGCTCATTCTACAGAAGACACACAGGAATTGAGCCTGAGAGAATAGAGGATCCATGAATCCCAACTCACATTTAGTACAAAGCTAACAGAAATTCACAGGCTCACTTGATAGGCACAATCACTCACAAAATTGAAATTATTTTCTTTTTTTGCCAAGCACATATAGTTTAAATTGCCTACATTAGACCTAAGTAGGCTTGTGTTTGGGCACCAGGAAGGATTACTTGATGTGGAGAATAACTAAGGCCCGACAGACTGAGGGGGCAGCAGAAGAATCTAGAGGGTGAACAATGAAGCAACTGCCCCAAAGGAACCAGCGCAAAGGACATGATCACAGCCGATGGGAATCTTAAACCAATACGCTCTGGTGCATATTGTCATTATTCATCAGTAGTGTTTAATGAAAGCTTACCACTTGCAAGGCATTATGCTATATATATGATTTTCCTAGATTGTTTCACCTAAACACCTCACAGGAAGCCTAGAAAGCAGGTACATTATTAGTTCCATTTTACAGATGAAGAAACTAAGGCTAAGTGATTGGCCAAATTCACCCAAGTAGCAAATGGAAGAACTGGAAATCTGACCTAGCTAGTCTGACTTCAGAGCGATCTTACTAGGCTATGCCTGCCTGCCCCCAGCAGCTAAAGGACGACGTGTACTTGATGACCTCAGAAGGATCTTTCCGTCCTAACATTCTATGATCTGCTTTAATGATCTGTGATAAAGCATTCAACTAGGCCAGTTCTATCAAACTGTAGAGAGCAAAACAAAGACACTCAATAAAATCTCTTCACACCTGAAAGTTAGAATTCTTAGGGTTTTCAAACTTGGCCTCTTTCCATATTGAACCCTTCAAGAAATGGAAATGTTTTTCTCTTGTGCCAGTCAATACCTAATATTTTTTCCTCATATGAAGACAAACGGCAGACAATATCAAAAGACATTCCAGGAAGAATAAAACAATTTGCAATTCAATAGGTATTATCTCTAAACATAACTGGACTCAAGACAATTTGATAAATGCAGACTTCTGGGGGAAAGTCCTCTTTTAAATATCCCTAAATTTAGTATAAATAAATAAACTGCTTATAAATTGATATTACATCTGAATATCATTGAAAAAACATTATTGGTGATTAATCGAACATATTAAAACTAAAAAAATTCTTATAAATATAAAACCTATTCATTCTTTTTATTTTTTGGCCTTTTTCCCCATCACCTTTTTCAACCACCCATCCAATCCTTTCCCCATGGTAACTACCAGTCACTTCTCAGTGTCTGTAAGTCTACTGCTGTTTTGTTCATTTTGTTTCGTTTTTAGATTCCACATATAATCATATGGTGTTCATCTTTCTCCACCTTATTTCACTTAGCATAACACCCCTAGGTCCATCCGTGTTGTAAGGATTTGGCAGGATTTCTTTTTTACGGTTGAATAATATCCCATTCTGTATATATACCACATCTTTTTTATCTATTCATCTGTTGACAGACACTTTGGTTGCTTTCCTATCTTGGCTACTGTAAATAATGGAGCAATAAATAATAGGGGTGCATAGATCTTTTTGAATCAGAGATTTTGTTTCCTTCAGGTAAATTCCCAGAAGTGGAAATACTAAGCTATGTATGGTATTTCCATTTTCGGTTTCCAAACTGCTTTCCATAGTGGCTGCACCAATTTACACTCCCAGCAACAGTATGCAAGGGTTCCCTTCCCTCCACGTCCTGGCCAACACTTGTCATTTCTTGTCGTCTGGATGTTGGCCATTCTAACTGGTATGAGGTGGTATCTCATTGTAGTTTTGAAGTGCATTTCCCTGATGATTAGTGACGTGGAGCATCTTTTCATGTGCCTGTTGGCCATTTATATGTCTTCCTGGAAGAATGTCTATTCAGGTCCGCCACCCATTTTTTTAAACAGGATGTTTTCTCGATATTGAGACATAGGAGTTCTTTATGTATTTTGGTGTTAGCCCCTGATCAGACATACCATTTACAATATATTCTCCCACACAGTGGGTGGCCTTCTTGCTTTGTTGATGGTGTCCTTTGCTGTACATGAGCTTTTTAGTTTGATGTAGTCCCACGTGTCCATTTTTGTTTTCTTTTCCCTTTGCCCAGGTAGACATATCCAGAAAAAAATTACTCATGCTACTTATGCTTTATGTAAAATACTTAGTGATCATAACCAAGTCAAAATATTCTCATTTATTCTTTTAAGTCATAAGAGTTCTTGGCTTTAACAAACAATACTAGATGTCAAACTTTTTTCTTTTTAAAGAATACATCTAACTCTGTAACAGATATAATGTAACAAGGTTTAGATATTCCTTAGCCTTCATACAGAGTATAAAGTAAGTTTCATAAAAGAAGCATACTGACACTTTGGTGTTAATATGAAAGACTACAAGCTTCTGGGAAATAGTAATTTGTTTAAAAAAAAAAAAAA